GAAGTTAAGGGAGATTATATTTAATAAAAAAAATATATTTCGTACCAAACACAGTATATTTTCATTTCGAGTGCAAAAACTTTGCAACCAAACTGTACGTGCTGATCGGATTTGCTGACTGACAATCATCGCGAGCAGGTATCCAATTAGTCGGTTTATTAAGGCGGTTGCGGGCATAAAATCAGCTGCGAAATTGTGAATAAATGATTCGGAGAAGTTTTAATCATAATAAAATTGTTGCAAATATTGCATTTTGTTTGAATTACTTAATGCACACAATAAAAGTATTATCTAATGGTGTTTGCTAAATAGTATAAGTAAAATAAAAGTTACATCATAATTTTTTAAAACGTGGCAATATTTTAAACACACCATTGCTTTCTTTCTAACAGCTATTGATACAACAAAAATATGCTTAATTCAACTTGTCGCATTTCTGATTACGTTGTCGACTTATAACTGTAGTGTATGTATGTACATATAAATAATACACATATGTGCATATGCATGTAAATAAAAGTGTGTTTATTGACCTAATTTTTTGACGTGCGACCGAAAGTTCTAATTATTATTTTCGCCTTTGGCATGCAATCACACGATAAATTTTTAATAAATTTCAAAAATAATTATCTATGTATATATAGTACATAAGTCGACATTTACCCCACATATCTATTTACCTGTCTATGTGCCAGCGCTGGTGGTGAGCACTTATAATTTGAGGTTATTGCCGGCAAAAAGAGTTCATCAGCCGCGCATTGTTGTTATTAGTGTTGAAATAAAAATAATAATAAAATATAAAAACTGTATCCGTCTAGCTAATACAGCCCATAAAAGGCTGCTCACTCCCGCATGCTGTGGTGTTGTAAAAATAATTGTTTCCTTTTTTTATCTTGTTTCAATATTTCACTTGTCAATTAGCAACGAGCACACATGCCTTCTACACACAAGAAAAAAACTAAAAATAATAGCGCTGTCAATTTGGCAGCTGTAAATACATATGTACATGTGTACTAATACATATGTTTCAATTTATACACATATTTATGTATTATATAAAAGCGCGTTCTAATTTCAATTGCAACTAATGCTATGTAGCCAATACTTTATAATTATTTTTTAGCCGCAAAAACTCAACGCGAATGCTCTAGCCCGCATTGGGAACGTTCCGTTACCGTATTTATCGCTCGCGCTACACATTTTCTCGCGCACTTTTAATTTTAGCCATGCAACGCTTTCAATTTTCACTTCGCTTGCTGCAAAAATAATGGATTCTAAAAGCTGCCAAACTTAAGTATCTCACGCTTGCACGCAACACCAACGAGAAATTGAAAAAAAAGCAAATAAACAACAATAAATTCATCAGATTCTCCCCTCGAAGAATGTGTTAAACAAAACAATTTAATTTGCATTGATATAGCTGATGCCCTACACCGTGCTGCCATTTGAAATTGAAAATTTTGTAAAAATTAAAACGAATTTTTATTTAATTTTTTTTTTTAAATTGTTTTATATATTTTTTCTATTTGTACATTTATATCCTTCAGTCTACACTTAAACACCATAACCATTTAAATATTTACATTCAAATTTGTAAAACTTGCATTTTCCTGCTTCTGTAGCGTGCTCACAATTCGTTGTTCACAAACAGTTTTTTAAAATAAAAAATTTACTCTTTTCACACATTTTTATCGCAGCGCCATAAAGACTGAACTCAGGCATTCGCCGGCTAAAAACCGTGAAACAACCGTTGAGACTTCTTAATAGCTGATGTTATTATAATTTACGATTTTCTAATAAAATTTAGAACGTAAAATTTCAACACTAATAAATCGAAAACTAAATATAACTAAATAAAATTATACTGTGTTAAGAAATTAAATTAAATTTTGAGCTGAATTTTAGTTTTTATATTCGTTTAAATTAAATATAATTTGATGTCAATGTGTAGTAGGAGGTAAGTCCATAAAATTTCTGAATTACACACCGATTATATTTAAAAGGGACACCTAGTGTGATGTCTAAAGAAATTATTTTTTTCCATATTTCGATAGGTTATATCTTTAAATGTTTACATAGATATCTTAAAGAGTTTTTGAGTTACAGCTTTCAAAAGTGTAGCCGCTCAAATCAATCAGCTTATCAGTTTATCCTTAACCAATTTTTCTCAAAACTACATTTTTCGTATTTGCTTGAATAATTACTCGAAGCCAAATGATCTGATCACTATCAAATCTTTTCTGCATGTAGTTCTCAATACAATGACCTACCATTTTTTTATTAAACTGAAATCAAATTTTTCCAGGCCAAAAAAGACCAAAATTTTGGGTAAAATTCAACTTTTTCTTTAAAACGCCGCCATTTGTTTGTCAATTTTTGATTAAACGTAGGTCACTGCATGGACAATATCTTCAAGTAAAATTATTTTAAGGTCTTTTTCATATTTTAAAATTTTAAAATAATGGAAACAGTATTTTGTTTTAATTTCTTAAAATTGTCTGTTTTAGGCTGTCACAATAGGTGTGCCCCTGCAAGCCAGTGTTGCATTCCTATAGTAAAAGCCGCAAACATAAAAATTCCTAACGATGTTGCATAGTACCGTTATTCAAACCAAATTCAGAGAACAATTTTTATTCTTACTTTCTTTCTTTTCGTTTTGAGTTTAAGTTTTTTTAAATTTCAAAATTTCGCGTCATAATTAATTTTTATATTTCTCATTTAAATGGGAGGATTTTCACTTTATTTTATGTTGTCCACTTAACACTTCACACTACATTTAGGTTAAGTTTCCCATTTATTATATAATCATTTGAATACACTTAATTTATTTATATGCGATTTCATACTATTTTAAGCGGAATATTTTTTTATTTTCACTTTAATAAGTTTTGTTTTATATATGGTATAAATTAAATTCTTATTATATTACATTTATTTAGCTGTTTTAATTCTTTAAGAACTTCATTTTTTTCCATTTAAATTTTTTGGTTCTCCTTAATTACATAACTTTAGGTATGAACGAACAACTTTAAATTCACTGCACTTGCTTAAGGTTTTCATGATTATTATACATTTTCAATCACACCTTCGTTAGCTAAAAAAGGTTTTCCCTTTTAAAAATTTAATGAAAAAAGTTTCTCTTTTATTTTTATTGTAATAAAAAAGACTTTTAAGTTTCTACATGTTATTAATCGTTTATGTGCAGAAAATTGTCGAAAATTTTCGAAACTTAATCGACCGCAACCGCCAGTAAAACTGAGAATTTGCGGTCTGTGCAAACGCCATCAAGGCAAAGCAGCAGGCATGAGGAGTAGCCCAACGCGAACACGGGCGCGACGTAGTTCGAGGCAATCAGTTGTCTTCGCAAACGCGGAGCCCAATTAAAAGTAAATTGATTTCCACTGTGCTGTAGGTGCAACGATAGATAATCAAAAATCGAGATAAATACAGTGAAGCCGCCAAAAGTGCTACTTTAATTTGAGTCAAAATTAGTTTTGCTTTTGCTTGGAGCAAAACAATAATATTCAAATTAAAATTCAACAAAAATAATTTATTGATGATCGATTAATTGAAATGTTTCTATTATCAAGTCTGTACTGTAAATAACAAAGCGCGAAAATAGCGCGAATACGCGAGTAAAAAATGTTGTACCTACACATGGTAAGAGTATTAAAAATAAATTGCCATATGTACTTGTATTAAACGTTTAGCACTTTGGACATGCAGACATACACTCAGACAGACCTAAGTGAGCGCCTGTCATTAGCTCCACCGTATAGGTGAATGTGCATCGATTGCCAATTTTGTTGCATACAACTTGCTAACCGATAGTACTTAGTTGCCGATCTGGTTGGCAAATCCAAATTTATTTTTATACGAGTTAAGTAAATTGTTGGCTGCATAAGTGGCTATGTTGCAGAGACTCCCAGTGAGAGTGAAACACACACAAGTGAGAGTACGATAGCTTAGTGAAACGTTTGACATTTACGAAATCATTAAAAGTATTCAAGTCAAAAATTAGGAAATCCGATGATTCCAAGAACGAATTAGCGTGGTTAGCAGTCATATTAAAATAAAAGGAAACAAGAAAAAATTTTAACTTAGGTTACGCCGAAGCTATTATAGCATTGAGATATAAAAAAAAGTTTAGGTATAAGAATTTGTTTGACTTGATTTTGAGCGATCACTTTATATGGCATACAGCGCTATAGTAGTCCGATTCAATTTATTCGGAGATTGTACCGTTGCTTTGGACAATAGTTCATGTCAAATTTGCTGAAGATATCTCTTCAAATAAAAAAGTTTTCCACACAAAAACTTGATTTTGATCTGTCAGTTTGAATGACAGCTACATATGGTATATGTCGTTCTATAGTGGTTCGATTTAAACATTTCTACGGGGACTGTAGCATTGGGACTGTAGATTGGCAGAAAAGTACGTGTGCAAAATTCCAGATCGATATCTTAAAAACTGAGTGAGGGACAGACGAACAGACGGACATGTCTAAATCGACTCAGCTCGTCGCGCTGATCATTGTATAGGTATTGTATACGTTTCCTTCTGGGTGTTACAAACTTCGTGGAAAATTTAATATACCCTATTTAGGTTATAAATATTAGAGAAATATAAGGGATATATGAGAAAGTGGTAAAAACACCATAAAAATACCAAGAAGTGCTTGCATTTACGATTTGTAGGTATAATTAGTTTATATTCGATTGGAAATGGATAACCCGTTACAAATACATTACGGATTTGCACTTCGTGCCTTCTAAGAATAATTAAACAAGTCAGCCAATTCTTCTCTAATTTTTATGCTGTAGTTTTTAGAAATAGCCAAACTATATTTATTGGCTGCTGCTTTAAACAGCTATTGACCCAGTAAACTATGCCCTTTTTTTAGTTCTGTAAGACAGATACATACATCCCAAAGAATTATACAAGTGTGTACATACTAAGAGTTTTTATTATTTGTGTGTTTTATATTTAGTGCACTTACCTCAAATAATATTAAAATGTGTACTTTTTAAAGCATTTGAATTGATATACCGTTATAAAGGTATAGCCTATTTTTATGCTTTAACGGAAATCTGAAAAAAAAGACAGAAAAGTGTTAAAAACATGCAAAAATAAAAAATTCAAATAAATTTAAAAGTAATTGTTTTGCAAATATGTGAAAAAAAACAAACAAACAAAAGCAGAAAATTGTTCCAAATATTTTTGCAAAACAGAGAGGCGTATATAAGCAATCATTACTCGACACTCTAGCACTGTTAATTAGAGTTAAACGAATCGTCGAAATCTTCGCCTAATATACACTTACTGTTTAATTTCAACACGCGCCAACGTAAAGTGAGAGCTAACACCTTTACAATACCACGCATTTGTTTATGTTGTTTCTGTTTAGGCTTCTTCTTCCTTGTTTAGCGCTCGTTAACCCTACCAACGCCAGCGTGCAATGTTACACCGTCGTTGAAATTGAAGCACTTTGAAAGAAAAAAAATCGCTCTGACCTTGAATTGAATTGAACGACAGACCTACTCACAGACAAAGTCAAGTGACAAAGCCATTGTCATCAGCTGGAGAATACGAAGTACACCACTTTAAATCAAATAACAATAAAAACAACACTTCAGCACAAAGTCGACCAAAACATCACACCGGCGCGCATAGCAAAACTGGTGACGAGAGTTGAAATGTACAACAACAATGCGTCATGACATCGACACCCAATATTATGGCGAACACTTTGCAGCCACGGCGACGATAGAAAGGCGACGAAGAGCTGCACTAAGGGGAACTGCACTTATCACAAATGCAATGAAATTTGAGTACCTTAAGTCAAATAAAAAGTTAGTTTTCTGCTGCATTTTGTTTATTTTATGTTGTTTGTATGTTTTTTTTGTTTTTTTGCTTTCATTATGCTTCTTTTTCGCTACAATCGTAATGAATTGCAGTGTAGTGGAGGGTAGTGAGCTTTAATGTGGCTGAAACAAATTACATATGTAGATAGTATGTTTAAGTGGTATTTAATATTAGGAAAGCAGACAACTGATATGGATTCCCATTTCGATTTCTTTGCTCTAATGACATATCTATCAAGGAGTAGGTTTGTATGTTCGCATATGTTATCATTGAAGAACAATTATCTACGAGTACCGAAGAGATAACAAAATAGTTGTTTGGTCCTCGAAATGATTGCTTGGAACAACTGTTTTTAAATAACGTTATATCATTGTCGAGGAATCACGACTCTTTCCTTTTCTAAAAAGTAAAATAATTAACTTTTTAGTTTATATACTGAGTAAAATAAGCGAATTGCTTTATCTGCCTTTGCAAACCTGTATGTGTAAATTTAATATATTTTGAGTTGTCGCGGCAATAAAAGACAATCGTCAAAAAATTTTGACAGCTTTATCTCCACTATCACAAGTACTTTAGAGGGCTATATTAAAGTAGTTTTTCCAACACGCAGTCGAATTTATAATTTTTAAGTTTAAAATAGAACACTATAAAACAATATAATTACAATTTAATATAAGAATCAAATGTGGTTATAAATACGATTTTTGGTAATAATTATTTAGGTTTCGATAATGCTTCTCTGATAAATTCGTTAAAATCTTTGCAGCATTCATTCATAGAGATATAATTATACAGTGCTACCTCTGAATATTGTCAAAATTGTCAATAATAATCTGATGCTAAAAGTTCAAACAAATGTGTATTGGAATGGTTTCGGATATGTAGTCTTCTGTGACGATTGACCTTCGACGAAATCGCTGCATCGTACCGAATAGTGTTTAAATGCAACGAAACACGCTTAAATCGGATTCCGCTGAATTGACAACAATTTTAAAACCCTGAACAGGGTATATTAAGTTTGGCACGAAGTTTTTAACATCCAGAAGGAAACGTTGTAGACCCTATAAAATATATACAATGATCAGCATGATGAGCTGAGTTGATTTAGCTATGTCCGTCCGTCTGTATATATGCGAACTAGTCCCTCAGTTTTTAAGCTATCGATCTGAAATTTTGCACTTGCCCTTTTCTTACTAAGAAGCTGCTCATTTGCCGGAACGGCCGATATCGAACCACTATAGCATATATTTGCAATACAAACTGAACTATCGGAATCAAGTGCTTGTATGAAAAACTTTTTATTTGTGAAGGGCATTATAGTTTCGTTGCAACCGAAGTTAACGTTTTTTCTTGTTTTATTTTATTTATGTATGTATATTTAAGTTTCATTCACAAAATCTGCAACAACAGTGAAACAATAAACAAGAACACAATTGACAGGTTCAGTAAATGTCAGAGTGTTAACAATTTTAGAGTGGAGTGGCATGCGAGTGCAGAGTTGCATTTTGCTATGGGCATCATTTATCTAGCGACAATAAAAGCTTAGTAGTATATATGTATGTGTGCTTTTATGGGTGTGTGTGTGTGTTATGTTAAGGGGTCTTTGTAAAACATATTTTCTCACCATTCGATAAATGAATAAACTACTGCACCAACTTGCTAGGCTGGCCGGCTCAACTCAGCTACTTATTAACCACTTCCCATTCTTCTCGCCATCGCTTCTACGCCAAAACACGCGCTCTAGCGTTCGTGCGGCACAACACCTGTCCGCCTTTGAAACTGGCTATGGTATTGAGCCAGCCAATGTTTATATGTATTTTACATGCAATTGCACAGAAATGCATTACAGCCGTCGTTTTTCAGCATATAAACGAGTATATGTGAATATTTAATACAAATAAATCTAAACATTGTATGCATGTATTTATGAATGCATTTGTGTGTGTGTGTGTTATGTACCATAAGCTTTTGTATGAAATATTCACCTACGTGGGCGCCCAAAAGGTACTCGTTCCGCAAATGCTTGAGTTCGCATTTGCACTTGCGCTCATATATGAAACTTTCAAGCTTCAGTGACTTCTTTTATGCTGCTTGTGACGTTGTTCATAACATTTTAAATTACTTATATACAAGTGTTGAAAACTACATATTTATGCATATACGGTTATGCATGAATTTTACACATGTGATGCATACCTGTCTAATGTGTATAAATTACCATTATACATACAAATAATTATATGTGCACACGTGTGTTACTCGCGCTCTATGCCTAAGCCTTGGTTCGCCCTAATTACTTTTATGGCATTTTACTGATTTTAGATAAAATCCGCATTAGTGGCGCAGCGCAGAGTTTTACACTTGGCGGTGAACAATTTGAGGGAAGAGATATTTTGGGTCATGCTACTGAGAGTAATCATTAATTATATTATATTTGTCAAGTTTGTCATTTAATTTATTTAAAATGGAGTTGTTGGTCCTTCCGTAATATGTTGACATGTGCGTTGGTGCACGCTTTTAGTGAGATAAGAGGTTTAAATTTACATAAACATAAAGAAAAATTTGAATTGCCCTGACTAAGAGTATTTAAAGAAATTCTATATTTCTGTCAAAAAAGGCAATTAGATATGATAAAGAAATACATTTGAAAACCATTCAATAAATTAGATTTCAAAAAAATAAAAACAAATAAATACATTTTTTTTTAACTTTGAGATTTTATTCTTATTTTTGCATTTAACTTAAAGTACTCATTGCTGATTGTTTGTTGTTTAATCATATTCTCATTGGTCTAATAAAAAAAAATTACAAACAAACCAAAAACCGATATTTCAGAAATTAACATATTAGTAAAACGATTGAAAAATATGTTCCTAATATTTTTAATAAAATTTCCGAATTTTTTTTCATTGTTACATATGTATAAGATCTAGTAAAAAAAAATGTTCCCAAAAATTTTCTTATTTATATATCTACAAATTTACCCTCAGGCTAAGCAAAAAAAACACATTTTTTTCGCTCCACCCTAATACATACTATGTATAAAATGTTCTCCAAGTTTCAAAATATTATATGTGTCTTCATTAATTCGTGCGGTTTTTCGAAATTAAGACTTTATTCTGAAAAATTGTACACATTTAAGTCAAAGTATTGCCCATCGGAAGCTACGATGTTTGCCCATCTTTTAGCAGTTTGTGGATCCCATCCCAAAGAACTTTTCGGCTTGGAGGTCAAGAAAGAATCGAGCCAATTTCTGATACCCTGTTTTGAAGTGAAGCGTACTCCGGTGAGGGCATTCTGCATTAATCTGAACAAGTGGTAATCGGAAGGGTGCTATGTCTGGGCTATAAGGTGGGTGAGATAGAACTTCTCACCCACAGTTTGTGTACTGAAAACAAGAAAAACATTAACTTCGGTTGCACCGAAGCTAGAATACCCTTCGAAGTAAAGAAGTTTCCATACAAGAACTTAATTTTGATCGTACATTTAGTACGGCAGGTAAGTATAGATATATGGAGTGGTCCGTTCTGGAAAATTTCTTCAGATTTGTAGCGTTGGTTCACGCTTTTAGTGAGATAAGAGGTTTAAATTACAAACATAAGAAAAATTTGAATTGCCCTGACTAAGAGTATTTAAGAAATTCTATATTTCTGTCAAAAAGGCAATTAGATATGATAAGAAATACATTTGAAACCATTCAATAAATTAGATTTCAAAAAATAAAACAATAAAATACATTTTTTTAACTTTTGATGTTATTCTTATTTTTGCATTTAACTTAAAGTACTCATTGCTGATTGTTTGTTGTTTAATCATATTCTCATTGGTCTAATAAAAAAAATTACAAACAACCAAAAACCGATATTTCAGAAATTAACATATTAGTAAAACGATTGAAAATATGTTCCTAATATTTTTAATAAAATTTCCGAATTTTTTTCATTGTTACATATGTATAAGATCTAGTAAAAAAAATGTTCCCAAAAATTTTCTTATTTATAATCTACAAATTTACCCTCAGGCTAAGCAAAAAACACTTTTTTTTCGCTCCACCCTAATACATACATATGTATAAAATGTTCTCCAAGTTTCAAAATATTATATGTGTCTTCATTAATTCGTGCGTTTTTTCGAAAATTAAGACTTTATTCTGAAAAAATTGTTACACATTTAATGTTCAAAGTATTGCCCATCGGAAGCTACGATGTTTGCCCATCTTTTTAGC